GAGGAGAACTGGCCCCCGACTGAGCCTGGGTTCTCCCAAGGTTTTTTTCTCCATCCAATCTGATGGAGTTTTGGTTCCTTGCCACTGTGGCCTTGCTTTTGGCTTGCTTAGTTGGGGATATTTAATATTTAAAGGGATACTCCACTTTTTTTGGAAATAGGCTCATAGGCTCAACTCCCCCATAGTTAAACAGTCGAGTTTTACCGTTTTCGAATCCATTCAGCCGATTTTCTGATTTTTAGAAGAATATCAGTAACCAGACAGTTTTTGGTCTCATTGACTTCCATATTATATTTTTTTTCCTACTATGGAAGTCAATGAGACCAGAAACTGTCTGGTTACTGATATTCTTCTAAATATCAGAAAATCGACTGAATGGATTCGAAAACGGTAAAACTCGACTGTTTACCTATGGGAGAGTTGTAAAATGAGCCTATTTCCAAAAAAAAAAAAAGTGGAGTATCCTTTTAACAATATTATTGATCTGTGTTGTACTACTTTCATGTTATCACTGTGAAGCTGCTTTGATACAATCTGTATTGTGAAAAGCGCTATATAAATAAATGGGACTTGACTTGACTAGATAACAATATAATAAAATTTAAAAAGCCAGTTCATGACCCCTTTAAATATAAAGTAATATAAATATAATAATTTGCATGGATTGCTTAGGATTACTTTTAGATTGGGTTTTATTTTGTTATTTTTCTGTTAAAAATACGTCTGTCATGACTACTCTCTGAGTGTTTGTCATGGTAATGGATATGAAAATGTATATATGTTTTTCCGCTGCAGAGCAAATACAGGACTTGCCACTGCCGATACACACATGACACACTGCTGTGAGCAAGTACAAATACACACTGATGTCTGTGGAAGCAGCAATATCAATCTATTCAAATAGAATTTGCCGAAGTGTGATATTCATATCAGACAAACATAGTGGAAGCAACTAGAAAGTACATTCTATTCTTCTCCCAGTTCACCGGCCACTTTCTTACATGTACTGTATTTCGGGAAAAACTGATGACTCACAGCAGGACTTTCTGAACAGCGGCGTAAAGAATCATGGTGGCGCCAATCTCACGTTATAGATCAAGAATATTTATAAAGGTTTTTAAACGACCAAACACAATCCACTTACACATTTTTGAGAATTGGAATGTCAGATAAGTTTGTGAATATTTCTGAATACTGATACACCAGGAACGGTCGGTTTTTATGGGCGTGTCCCACTGAAGACTTGGAAATAAACGCCCACTGCTGTGAGTGGATAACAGTTTTGCATATTATAATGAGTTTCACTCACCCGTCGGTGTATGTGGGGGAAAACATCCAATGTTGTCAAATGGCAACCGGATTCGCCCATACATGTTCGACCCAGAGTCCGTGTGTTGCACAATTCCTGTCAGATCCAATATAGACGGCACAGCACCGTTCTTTACTCTTAATCGGTCTGCAAATCCAGTCTTGTTTACAAAACAATCCTCAGTGAAATGAAGCGAACAGACGACGATGTTTTACCCTCATCAGCTGGAACGTCATTAAAAATAAAGTTTATCCATGAAGTCCTATTGGAATCCACAGGAAGCTTATGCAGCGACTGTCTTCTTCCACAACCAGGCACTGCAAAATATTCTGTATTGCTGCTCGGTAGAACGATCCGGTTTGTCATCACGAGTTAGGCTACTTAGCTATGCGTGTAATGCGCGAATCGGTGGGCGGGGCTAAACCGGCCGTGTTGAAGTAGGTGTTGATCTTCTTCTGCGGGGGTGGTGTGTTAACCCCTTCGACGTCATAGTTTCCCACTTTTCAAAACGAGACGTTTTCAGAGGCTGGTGTAAATAAAAGCTTTTATTGGACTAACAAGGACGTTTTCAGTTCTGAAACTTACAGGATATTATTATAATATGATAACCTCTTAGATATCAAAAGCTCAAGGAAAATTTGATTTCTCAGTTCATCACCCCTTTTTAGGACCTTAAAAATATTGCCCTGCATGGCGCTTCATGCTTCTTAAGCCCTTTTCACACAGCGCGTTGATCCCGGGAAATTGTCGGGAAATTGCCAGAACGCCTTCTGTGTGAACGCAAACACGACCCAGGATTGATACCGGGACTGATCCCGGGTTGGGGACCTAGTAACATTGCCGGGATCAGTCCTGGAACGCGCGCTGTGTGAACAAAAGCCAGGACCAATACCGTAAGGGGTGTGTCATAGTGATGGCGCTCGTGCCATCGCGCGACTCTGTTGCTCTTAGAAGAAAGTTTGTGTTCGTCATCAACAAAGAAAGGACGAACAAATACCTGCAAACTGGAGCGCAGCAGAGACCAGGAGCTCCTCACTATCCGCACTGAAGCTGAGATCGTTCACCAGTATGCACGTGTACATGTTTTCGACGCATCCGTTATACGCCTCATTCAGACGTCATGTGTCTTCCTGGGATTTTTACGTGTTGTGTGTGAACGCACTCACAGATCCCGGCAAATCACTGGCAGTGTGAATGAACCGAAATCAAACTATCCCGGGACAAATGCCGGGTCACATTATCTGTGTATTTTCCAGAATCTCTGTGTGAAAGGGGCTATAGAGTTTCATGACAGACCTTTTTATTTTTTACAGAGCAACAGTACTAAACTATGCTCAGTGATACTCAGTGACGAACAACAACGCATTCACTGGCTTACTGAAACAACACAGCAAAATTAATATACCGAAAAAAAAAAGTTACTGCCTTAAATTTTTAACTACAATCACTTGGATTTTAAGTCATTTCAACTTAAATTACATTAAACTGACTTAAAAAAATGTTGAATCTTGTATAATTAATAAAAAAAGTTGAAATTGCTTAACTTATTTTGATGAGTTAAAGAAATCTATAAACATTTGTTGTCATTGATCATATACTTTTTTACAGTGTATAAGAAACTCTCATATGTTGCTTATCAACACCACATATATATGTGCCGCTATGAATAGGTATAAATGCTACTAGTAAGATACAAAAGCTACAGTGGAGGGGAAATTATTAACTAAATTCGTGCGACTTGTTCCACAAGTAAAAAGTTACTGTTTACTGCTTTGGAACGCCACGAGGGTGAGTAAATAATGACCGAATTTTCATTTTTGGATGAACGTTCCCTTTAAATGGTTCTAGCAGGACAGATGTTAACAAATGCGGTACTTCTCAGCTTCCTTTCTCTCTCGATCTACTCAAGTCTCTCTGATGCTCTTTATCTTTCAGGCTTTCCCCTCCGGCCGCCTAACCTTTCTCTTTAAAGCTTTTCTGGGAGACACGGGAGAAGAAGGAAAAAAAATCAATGTGGTTTAAAAGAGCCTGAAATCTCTCCTAAAAATATTAGAAAGAGGAAAGAGAGATAGGACGTCGAGAAAATCAGCACCACAGCATCTTTCCTCTCCTCTTGTTCCTTTTAAATAGAACAACGGTCGGCCTTGACAATATCTTCACACTCTAACGGGCGTCTTGTTCCGCTAAAGCATTCGATGGTTTCTCCCACAATCACGATCGAGGGTGTGACCAGACAAACGGGGGAGGCATTTCTGCAGATTAGGCTTTCATAACAGAGATCGAAAGAGCAGAGGTTCACGAATTACGTGAGTGATGGAGATGATGGCTTGTTATTGTTCAAGCTTGTTTGGAGATGAGTTGGTGAAAAAACAAGCAGCAGAGGAACTAAATTGCAGCTGTTGAAATCTCCCAAACTGGGTTAATTGCTCTGGGATGGGGAGAGAACATGGATACCATTAAAAAGACTTTCCCTTTCATAACGACTTTCTCACCATACCTGCCCAACGCCCAGAGGGAAAGACGTACCCTGTGTTTCGTATGCTGTTTGCTGTTTGATGATATCTGACAGAGGAACTCATCTGAGAGAAACATTGATCTAAGTTTCACCTGTCCGTATCTGACACAGGGGCAAAACACCAGCCATAAGGGATCATACTGAGAGTCGTAGCAATAAATGTGTCTAGCATCTCTTGATTCTGAAGTGACAGGTGCCTCTAGGGTAATTGCACTTTTACATGATGGAAAGTGTCAGGATCAGTAGATTAAAAACTGCAGTAGTTTTTGCAGCTCACAGTGTTAGCAACACCAAAGTTGTTGGTTGGACTCCCAGGGCACACTGGCATTAAAATTTTGGGGTCTTTTTTGTTGTTGTTGAAGGACATTCATAATTTCACTGAAAAGTGATCATAAAAGGCATTTACAATGTTACAAACGATTTTTATTTCAAATAAATGTAGTATGAACCTTCTATTTATTAAATAATCCTAAAAATCACGATTTTCACAAAAATATTAAGCAGCACAGATAATAATCAGAAATGTTTCCTGAGCAGCAAATCTGCATATTAGAATAATTTCTGAAGGATCATGTGACACTGAAGACGTTTTTGTTGTTTAAAAATCCAGTATTACCGTAATACTTTTGTCTTTTAATAAAGAACTTAAAAGTCTAGAATAAAGTCTTGTTTTCTGTCCAAACATACCGCATGATCTTTAAAGAATGTTCGTCTTTACCATACACCAGGTGACCTGTAAATGTGAAATATCCATTGCAAATATCGAACTGCCTGAAAAAAAAACCCTCATGCAAGTGTAAAAAACTTTTTTGCGATATATGTGAGTTTCTGAGAAATTGACGTCTTTCCATTGGGCGAATTTTCAATTCTGCGGAAAAAAGAATACATTTTTTGATGGTGAGGTTAAGTAAATGGCAACAGAACTTCCATTATTTAACTGTTTGTGAACTGCTCCTTTAAGTAATTGAAGTCGCTCAATATTAACCCAATTAAACAAACTCTTTCATACCCCTGTTTAAGCACCTTATGCCGACGTCAGGAATGGCTAATCTTGTTTCCTTCCACTTGTTTGTCAGTCTGTCAGCGCAGATTTTTCTAAGCTCTGATGTCAGTTGTTGTGCTGACTGTGGAGGTGTATCCTAATAAGGGGCAGTTGGAGAGACGCAAGACTCTTACCAGGCTTGAGACTTCCTCCTGGGCACGTTCTGTCGGCTCCACTTGGAGTGAGGGGTCAGGTGATAGATCAGCTGCCTGCAGATCTTCTCAGTGGACTTGAGAGCATCAGACTCCTGCAAAAGCCAGGATGAGAAGAGGCCGGGTGATGAAGAGCTATTCTGGGAGATAGGAGGGCTTATGGTCACAGACAGTGTAATCTAAAGCAGCTTGGATGCTAACCATGTCTAGTGCTATCAAAAGTGTTAACAGAAGTAAACAGTCGAATGAATCTGTGAGTGATGATTTAGTTTAAAAAGTGTCAAACAAGAGGCCATTGCTTTTTAGACATTTTACCATCAAGAGGTGCTGTTAGGCATGACACGCCACATAACCAGCACCCATACCGTAAAGTGGCATTAGTTTATTGCTTTTATTATATAAAATTAACATCTGTTTGATAAAAGACAGCAATGTTTAATTAAAGTAATTAATAATAACGATCATTATGAATGAAAAGTTTGGGGTCGGTAAGATTTATTCATGTTTTTGAAAGTCTCTTATGCTCACCAAGGCTGCATTAACGGAATGCATTGCTGATATAAAAAATTGGATGACTAGTAATTTCCTACTAAAAATATATGTATATTATGCCATATGCTCTCATTGACAAATGCGGAACAATTAGTTCATGCGTTCATGACAGCAAGGCTAGATTATTGTAATGCTCTACTGGGTGGTTGCCCTGCATGCTTAATAAACAAACTTCAGGTAGTCCAAAACGCAGCCGCTCGAGTTCTTACCAGAACCAGGAAGTATGACCATATTCAGGGTTCTGTCAACCCTGCATTGGCTGCCTATTAAACATCGTATAAATTAAAAAATATTGCTGATTACTTATAAAGCACTGAATGGTTTAGCTCCGCAGTACTTGAGCGAGCTCTTAACGCATTATAATCCTTCACGTCTATTGCGATCTCAAAACTCCGGCCAGTTGATAATATTTAGAATATCAAAATCGACTGCTGGCGGTAGATCCTTTTCCTATTTAGCACCAAAACTCTGGAACAATCTTCCAAACATTGTCCGGGAAGCAGACACAATCTGTCAGTTTAAATCTAGACTAAAAACCCATCTCTTTGGCCTAGCATACACATAACACACTATAGACTTCCTAAATTCAAATTAGGCTGCATAGTTTAGATCAGCCGGAACTGGAAACATGTCCCGTAAATCCTGATGTACTTGGTACATCAAAAGAAGGATGGCGTCTATGCTAATATCAGTTTCTCTGTTTATCCAGAGGGACCCTCTATGGTGGAGCTGAGCCTGGACCCATCCCGACTGATCGTTAAAGGGTCATGAAACCCCAAACCAAATTTTCTGAGATTATAACAGAGGTATGTGTGTTGAACACCATTGAAGACAATGTTAGCATCTGTTAGATTTAATAATGAGGTTAAAATGGTTAAATTTGAGTTTTTTTCCCGCTTTTTTCGTCTTCCGGGTTTAAAATCTTCATCGGAGCGGGTGACGTGGCCATGCACTGCACAGTGCGTTGATGACTCATCGCTGTCTCATAATTATTAATGATACTGAGTTTTCTTATCCAATGAGAAGACACAGCCTCTTAATTATTCATGACACCACGTGGATCTTTCCAACGACAGACATGTTAAACTATCGCGTATGCGTAGTAGATGAGAGAGGCAATCATGGGACGCAACGCAAGTATTTATTTTCATGGTGCAAAGTCCAAGTGCGTTGAATATGTTCCCCGCGATATTGCCAGGGCTAGACTCTGGCTCTGGACGGTTGGTTTGCCATCAACCCCGGTCACATCTAAAGATGATCTATACATAGTTCCCACAGGCAAAAAAATTGTCACGTGACCTCCCTGGAGACGCCATCTTTGAGGGCAAAACCGCTGTGTTTACCATAGGCGTTTACAACGTTTTATCAGAGAATGTCGTTTTACAAACAAATATTTATGTCTGTTTATATTGTTATGCAAATCATGAAAAGACAAAGTGTAATAGATTATAAAGAGACTATTAAAACAAGACATAGAGAGGTACAATGCGAAAATTTCATTCATAAATGGTGTGTATCCTTATGCAACAAAAGAAGCACTGAGCACCGATTATGCTACTTTGCCTCAGATACAGTATTTTCATGTGTACAATTATCTGGTATTGGTGAGGAGTTTTTACACATGTGAGCAATTCCAAGCCTGGAAATCACTGGAGGTGTACGATCAGATTGACGTGGGGTTGGTTTGGTGACGTTTGCTCAAGTGCAATCAATGGAAAAGTAACTTAAGTCATCATAGCGAAGTAGCATGATGCTAATCTGTCTATTAAAAAGCCATAGCCTGCACAACTTAATTCCTATGTTCCCCAGTCACCGGTGATTTCTGTAATATGCATGTACGTGCGGGCGTCATGGTTCGGTGCATGAATATTAAAATAAATAACTCGCGTGCAATTTAATTAATGTAATAAATGAGGAACTGCATTATACGCGGGATCTTTAGGGACATAATCTGAGATTGCAATGCTGGAATGTGAGATCAAACAGTGGAAACAATGTTGTTTTGTATGTTTTTAATACCTCGTCATTTTGTTCATACAGGACATTATTCAAACTGCAATGTGTTAACTTATATTTATTTACACTCGCAATAAAACACAACATTGTGCTTTTGTCAAACAAATTCTTGCGTGTTTTGAGTGAGTTTCTTTCCTGTTTATGCTCGCCAGCCATAATCTCCGTCGTTGTTCGGACAAAAGCTTAGTCTTCTCACATCCATATGGAGTCTAATGACGGGTATAGTGTAAAATCCCGATTTAACTGAACCTCCGGCACGATTTTATCATCCATTGACTCAGCAGGAGATGACCATTTTCACTTTATAGCACGAAACTCATTTCACTTCGTTCAACTCGTATTGTTTCTTCTTATGTTTTGCCCTAAGCAATGGCGCCGGGTCGGCAAATGCCCGTATGTTGTGACGTCATGTGGGAACTATGTATAGTGTGTGCCGCTAACATTTTCTCGAGAGAGCTGCGAGAAGTGGAGAATGGTGGACTTCGCCTTGTTGACAACTAATCCAAGTGCGTCTTGCGAGTGATGCAGTATCCCGAGGACTTTCTATCCCTTTAGAGGTGTGTTTGTGTTTGTGTGTGTGTGTGTGTGTGTGTCTAAAATGAGAATTCATCCACCTCCGCAGAGCCATCTTTATTATGAGGGTTCAGAGGGCACGTAGACTATACACGGAATGATTTTTTTAAGCGGAAAATTAATAATTTTTTTTCTGAAATGTATTTATAGTGTCTAACCACTATATATTTTATAATGACATTATAATTATACATGTAGCCTAGATTAATATGTTTTAAATAGAATTACGATTACTGTAGGCTAATATATGTAGCATTTAGTTACTTTTGAAAGGACAATAATAAAGTGTCAGTGTATTTAATAAGACTTTAACTTTGCCAGCTATATATTAAAATCTAGCATTTCCTCACATTTTACCATTGCTTTTTAGTGACAGTCGATATGCATGGGACAGTGACGTGATGGTCATACAACACCCACTCCCTCCCTTCTTCTCACAGCTAGCCACGCCCATTTCAGCTGCATTTTTCAAAAAGATTTTGAGCTAGACTTGAGCTGAAAGAGGGGGGTTTCATGACCCTTTAAGTGCCGGCCTCACCGACAAGACAGCCATCGGCACTGATCCTCAACATCTCGTCTCCAAACCGGCGTGATTACTTCGACTTACAAACAGATGGAAATGGACAATTCTCTTAATTTTTCAATCCAATTTGTTTTGTAATCACTGTTCCTTCGTTGGCCAGAGGAGAACTGGCCCCCGACTGAGCCTGGGTTCTCCCAAGGTTTTTTTTCTCAATTCAATCACCTTATGGAGTTTTGGTTTCTTGCCACTGTTGCCTTGCTTTTGGCTTGCATAGTTGGGGACATTTAATATTCAACAATATTATTGATCTGTGTTGTATTATTTTCATGTTATCACTGTGAAGCTGTTTTGATACAATCGTAAAAAGCACTTAAATAAAGGTGACTTGACTTGACTTGACATTTATTTGATCAAAAATACCATACAAACCATGAAATATTATTATCATTTCAAATAAATGTTTCATATTTCAACATATTTTAAAAATGTAATTTATTTCTGTGATGCAAAGCTGTATTTTCAGCATCATTACTCCAGTCTTCAGTGTAACATGATCTTTCAGAAATCATTCTGATTTGTTGCTTTACAAAAAAACACATTTCTTATTTTTATTATTGAAAAGTGTTCTGCTACTTAAAGGGTTAGTTCACCCCAAAATGAAAATTCTGTCAGTATTTACTCACCCTCATGTTCCAACCCCGTAAGACCTTCGTTCATCTTCGGAACACAAATTAAGATATTTAAGATATTAAGATCGCTCCTGCATACAGTCCACAGGCTTCTTGAGGGACTGGCTCTTGCTGTCCTCGAAAAGTCATTAAAGACATCGTTAAAATAGTCCAAGTGACTACAGGGGCTCAATCTTAAGTTTATCAAACGACGAGAACACTTTTGTGCGCAAAAAAACAACAAAAATAACGACTTTATTTCAACTATTCGTTTATTTCTCCCTCTGCGCGAGTCAGGTTACTAGTTTAATAGCGTAAGCTTCTGTTATTGTACGTCACACGCATCACACACACATGACCAGCGTCGGCCAATAGTGAGCCTACGTGTGACGTAGCTCTACGCAATCACACTATGTTAACTGACTTACAGGCTTATGGAGAAGGAAGTGAATAGTTGAAATAAAGTCGTTATTTTTGTTGTTTTTTTGCGCACAAAAGTGTTCTCGTCGTTTGATAAACTTAAGATTGAGCCCCTGTAGTCACTTGGACTATTTTAACGATGTCTTTAATGACTTTTCGGGGACAGCAAGAGCCAGTCCCTCAAGAAGCCTATGGACTGTATGCAGGAGCGATCTTAATATCTTAAATATCTTAATTTGTGTTCCGAAGATGAACGAAGGTCTTACGGGGTTGGAACAACATGAGGGTGAGTAAATACTGACAGAATTTTCATTTTGGAGTGAACTAACCCTTTAATATGTTT